AACGACATCTTACCAGGTCGTCACGCCATTTACTGAACCACCTTTATCCTATTCTTTGCTTACCGGTACGAGGTTGCCACTCGTTAACCTTTTTTTTTTCACTGCTGGCCGTATGTGGCCAATATACGTACTACTAAATTGATTCGTAGTCTGAAAAATAATAATTTTAATTGCTGTGTCCTCCACAAAAGAAAATGTCAGTAGTTTTTTCTTCTCGCTAGTTTCTTATCGCTTGCACTTAAATGTAGATAGGCCGAGCTTTAATGAGTCGAGTTTCAGCGAAGCGTCTTAGGATTGTTTTACTTCTTTCAGCAGTCACGTTCTACAGTGTTTATTAATTGGGGTATTCTAGTAGGTCTCTTGTATTTCTTGAATGCGAAAAAATGGAAAATGTCACAGATAAGGATCCTAGAGTACTTTTTTATACGTAGCGACCCACTTTTCTCAATTGTTTTTATACTAAACTCTTGTATGAGATGTTGTTTACAACAAAACAACATCTCATCATTTTATTTTGTTTTATTTTATAATGTGAAGCATTGTATTGGTGACGCACGAAAATCTCAATTCATCTCACGAGCGAAGGTGACAAAGAGAAATATGTGTAATGAGTTTTTTTTTTTATATAGAAAAGGGTGACAAACGAGCACACAGTCCACCTGATGGTAAGTGGTTGCTGCGGCCCATAGACATCTACATCTATTCTCCATTAAAAATCAAAATGCAGATGCGTTGTCACCCGTGAGGTCTGAGATGGAATGCCTCGTTTCCAGTAAAAAGGGTCTCCGGTTCTCTACACTCACCATACGAAATACAGCAGCATTAAGCTACTATTTCACGCTGGTATTCTGTGAGAGCGTGGTACTTCCCCGGTCGAGCCGACCCATTCGTGCTACAACTATACTACTAATATAACTGCAGCATGGCTCTACCACGTATAAACGTTATATATATAAACGTTAACGTATATAGCATGAACATTGTGTGGTAGCCGACTAGGACCAAATTTCGTTCATAAGACTATCAACTAATTTCTTTTTTCTTTCTTTTACTTTCAAATTTGAATACTATTACGTAAATACAACGTTGCCGTTTCATAATATAGTATCACTATATGGTATTTTCTTCAGAAAGAAGTAAAGAAGTAGAACTTTCTCCTGTATGTCCTTAATGATTGAATAGATTTGCAAAATGATGCTAACACAATTGCTGACTGGTGCAAACAAAACTGTATGTGAATGCATGATTGTAAAACCCACCTCAGACCAAATGCGAAAGTTTCGGAAAATTAATGAAAACTGTCTGGTATAAAAAAAGTCCATGTTTTACCTTTTTTACTAATTATGTTGAAAAATATTTAATATATGGTATGTTAAAAAGTGGGTGTATAATATATTCATAGATTTTTTTATTTGATGTTTTTAAGTTTTGGGATGAGGTGGATTTTTACAGTCATCATGTACAAGGTGTGTTTTTACAATCAAAGTCCAATTTGTACGAATGTTTAATAATATTTATTTTCATAAAAAACTAACAGAATTAATCTAATCCTTCATCTTCGACATTTTCAGCTGTTCGCCATTGCAATATTTCGTCCCAGGTTCTCTTCGCACAAACTGAAGTCTTGCATCTTCTTTGCATTAATGCAGAGTTGCCTTGGTCCATATGCAGGTTCATCGGTAGCGATACGGTAATCTGTGGCCTTATCTTCAACAAAAATGTATCCGTTGTCAGTCCATCAATGAATTCCTGCGTTTTTACCGGCACTTATCCGCCCGATCTTTTTGAATGTGAGGTGATGGAGTTTTAAGATACTGAAGCTTACTTTCTCCGTTCTCGGAAGTCGCTGATCCTTTGATCAATTGATTCAAGGGATAGTGCAGTCTTTTTGAAATGTAGAACCCACCATTTTTTAAACTCAGTCACATCCTCTCCGCTGACCAAGTGAACTATAAAAAAATCACTCTGCCTGCTCGAAGATACGATTAATTCCATAAGTTCCTGTACACTGTACAGCCTCTCTTTACGACGAAGGCTTCTTTTTGTAATCCCGAATGCTCTATCACACGGAAGAAAAGAATGGCCTTTCTTCCTTTCATCGGAAAGATCTGTTGAATTTCTTTGAAACGTCAACTGTCAACTAGGGCCATATGCATTCGTACTGCTGTATTGTTTTTATTCTGCCCTGCGCAGTTATCAGAAAAGAACATTAGTTCTACCACTTTTTTGTCGACGTACTCTTTAATGTATGTCATAATAAACGATCATACTTCGTTTGGTCCCTTCTTTGCTTGCCCTTCATGATATAAGAACAGGACATTTTTACCTATTTTCAAATTGTGGATACAAAAAATAGAAACGCTCAGTTACCGCAAATAAAATACTTCTTGCACTGGAATTATTGGCAGTGACACATTCTGTATGTAATCGTAGCAAATTCCCAAAAACGTTTTATCTTCTTGGGATCTTTGCCTTGCTTCTTAAAGTTAATTATAGAACTTCTTTGCCCTCTTTCTGTGTACTAGCTTTCGGCCAAAGCTACCTTTTTAGCTACGTAATTCAGGGTTTTCAAATTGGTTTTCAATTCTAGACTTCCGCAGAGGCAGCACATATCTACTGCTGGCCGTCCAAAGCGAAGAGCGAAGTTCTCCCTGTATATTTTATTATAATATTCGTACTTAATCCTAGTTCCTGGGTATTTTTCCTCAAAACGTCGAAACATTTTTTACTGACAAGTCAGCAGGAATTTACTTTATTATGCCAGAAGAGTAGTGGCTCTCTTTTGTTGTAAAACATGATAAATGAGAGATCACTGTTGTACGAGGGGTGATCCAAAAGTAATGATAATCGGTTACTTCAAGTCCGCATAAAAATCCAAAAAAAATATTTTTTGCTTCGTTATATACTCACTACGTCAGCCTAAAAAAATCATATAAATAAATCACGATTTCCGGGAGATACATTCATTTGAATACGAACTGTGAAAGAGATAACATCAACATGGAGAAAAACTAAATTAGAGTTGTCATCAAGTACCTCTGTTTGGGAAAAAATGTCTTCAAAAGACATACACAGTGACTTAGTGGACACATTGGGAGACTCTGCTCCTCCATATTCTACAGTTGCACGCTGGGCCAAGGAGCTTAAACTTGGCAGAACATCTAATGTAGATGAACATCGCGAAGGACGCCCATCCACGTACCTCACTGAAGACAACGTGAAAAAAGTCGAAGATGTTGTGTTGGCAGATCGAAGAGTGATTATCAGGCATGTAGCTGAGGTCACAGGGATCTCGTATGGCAGCGTTCAAAGAATCCTTGCGAACGAGTTGCATATGAAAAAGGTTTCTGCGCGTTGGGTACCCACAATGTTAACCGACGAGCAAAGGAAATATCGAGTTGACATTTCGAGGGTCAATCTCGAAAAGTTCCAAGCAGATCAAGAAAATTATTTTTTCCGTTTTGTGACTATGGACGAGACCAGGATCCACCATTTTGATCCTGAAATGAAACAACAATCGATAACTTGGAAGCGAGCCTCCTCACCGACGCCAAAGAAATTCAAAGTTTCAAGTTCGGCGGGAAAGGTTATGGCATCTGTTTTTTGGGACGCTCAAGGCATAATTATGGTGGAAAAAAAGGGAGCCACTATTACGGGCTCTTACTGCGCAGACCAAATAAGAAGATTACGGGAGGCCATTAAGGAAAAAAGACGCGGCAAACTGCGAGCTGGAGTGCTGTTTCAACAAGACAACGCACCGGCTCACAAAGCCGAAGTTGCGATGGCTGCCATTCAAGAAACGGGATTCGAACTATACGAACACCCTCCCTATTCGTCAGATCTAGCTCCTAGTGATTTCTACCTCTTTCCTCGGCTCAAGGAACGCCTCCGAGGCAAGAAATTCGAAGAGGATAGCGAAGTAATGGCCGCTGTTGAAGCGTTTTGGGAGGGTCAAGACAAAGAATTTTTTTCAAAGGGAATCCTGGGTTTAGAAAAAAGATGGACTAAATGTATTGATTTGTTAGGAGAATATGTAGAAAAATAAATTATTATTTTAACTTTAATTACCGTGTTTTATTTTCATTATCATTACTTTTGGATCACCCCTCGTAATTTCATCACCGGACATCGCATTCACGGAGCCTCTTAACACGGTCCTTCCAACTCTTAACACGGAATACCAAACAAGCTAAGAAAAGCATAATGGCATACATCTTTCTTCTCATTACCAATTTGAACGGTGTATGTAAACATTTTTTATGTCCTTACAGGACATTAAAATTGATTCGTAAAATTGAGACCATAGAATAGATAGACCATAGAATTCATTTTACAGCCCTTTAAAGCGAATGTGTCGCTCTTATAATGATATGGTTTTGACGGAGTCAGGTAAGGATATGGACGTCTTTGACAATAATATAAATGAGCTTCGCGCTCAACTGTTCCACAATTCCACTTCTTCAAATCAACTCCACATTAATTATTTATCGTCTTAATAAAACTTTCACTAAATTGTCGTTAAATTTGTTAAAGTTATAAATTGTTTTTTTTTTGTAAAATTTATACATAAATATGTTTAAGGATAATGCGTGTTGCAACTGTATGAATGCGTTTTTGGTTTGCATTCCAGGTCAAATCTTTGTATATAATAGGTTTTTATGCTAAGTAAAACTGTTGTGTGCATCCAATAAATAAATAAATATCGTAAAGCGTTTTACATACAGAAATTGCATATGGACACAAATCCAAACCCAGTTCAAATTCTTGTAGTCCATACAAACACTGTTTCTGTCTGGAATTCGAACACGCAGTCCTGTAGCACCGCAACCAAACGGTTGGCCAATGCGCTACTAAACTGTCGAACGTATCAGTACTATATAGGAGAGTATAATAATTAGAATGCCATTAATTTTATGGTAACAAATTTCTAATATATTTTTTTCTTCCAGTGCGGGTATAACAGACCTCGTGACGCTGCTATCATGACGCTGCACTGGTGGATGCACTGGTTCTGGGTGACACTGTTGCTGTCTTTAATAGGTATGTTTAAAATATGAACACCTTCATGAAACCTTTTTTCTTTAGCAGAGTACGGTTTGTAATGTGCTGTACCTTCGTATAGTACATCTATGAGCTGTTGCTGACTTGCAACCCTAACGTCGCCGGCTTGGATCTATGAATATGGCGTCATATATACTTAATTAAATTATATTCTTTTTCTGATGGACCAGCACCTAACGTGACGGCCTTTTCTCTGTCATCGAAATATATTTTACTGTCGATCCCGCGTAAATTTATTGTTCATTCACTACCAACTTCATACAGTTTTAAACTTTACAACTTCTGCCGCAGCATACACGCAATCTTGTTGCACAAACACACGCTTTTGATATGCTCTGACCTTTATTGGGTATAAGTAGTTAGTTATTTTAAACCTTCATTCGATAAAGTTTTCAATAGTATACAATTGTCCATTCTCCGCCGTATCTTTTAATGAGAGTTCTAAAACAATATTACTGATAACCTTGATCTTAACAAGGTTATATCGCGAGCTTTGAAGGTTGGGTAAAGAGACGTAAACCTGACTGTGTAACTTATACCGAGTTTATATATTTAAAAACGGTTACTTTTTCATTACGAGCCGATTTCAGTATCTAAAATGCATTTAAGAGTGTTTTAAATGAAATATAATTATTTTGTTTAATAAGTTTTAAACCCAACCCAATGTATTACAAACCGTATAAAGTTGTTTCAATTTAAGTAAACTTATGCTGCTGATTGAATAACATACAACCTCGAATGAAATAAAACGGACTATTAATTATTGTGGAGAACGAAACATTTCTTGAAAATAAAAATCTGGCATTAGTCAGAGTCAGAGAGTACGTGGTGGATGTATCGCAGGTCATAAGTGAGCCAATATATGAGAAAAAAATTCGCCTTTGGGAATGTTTTACTTCTTTTCATGACATTCAATAGTTTTCCCTTGTCTCCATCTCCTTGTGTATCTTGATAAGCGTTACATCGGATATTGCTATATTACAAGGAGTGAGTGCTATTGTGCCTATCGTAAAACTTTTGGCACTAATTATGTCATAACACTCGTCACCTTGTGACACACTATTTACCTGTAATCTTTATGGAGGAATACACAAACACGGTGAGTGCATGCACACTCACTACCAATTATTTCATTCCTAGTAAATGTCTGAGCCGTGGTAGCTCAGTGGTTAACGCTCGCAGTAAATATAACAGAACGCGAGTAACCCGGGTTCGATCCCCGCCGGCACCAATGAAATTGTTAATTGCAATTTTAAGTAAGCAAGTTTACAGTGCTCGGCGGTGAAGGAAAACATCGTGAGGAAACCTGCATGTCTGAGGAATAAGAAAAAAAAATATTTCGAAGACATGTGAAGTTCGTCAACACGCATTTGGGCAGCGCGGCGGACACTTCCTCGCCCTAAACCCTCTCAGAAATGAGGGGAGGCCTGAGCCCAGCAGTGGGACGTATATAGGCTTTAACTTTACTTTAGTAAATGTCTACGCTACAAAAGGTACCGGAAAATTAACGGTTTCCGGAGGTGCCAGAAGAGATAGATATGGCCTGTTCCTTTTAAATGTTATTTTTTGTTTGTTGATTTATGTTAATATTTGTGGCAAGAGTGCAACTTTTTTTTTATATAAACAGTTTTTCATGGGCGGCGGTATGGTGGTGGGTCGTGTGCTCGTTTGCCCCCTCTCCTATAAAAAAAAATCAAGTGCCAAACGGGAGAAATTGCTGCAAATGGTTTAAGATTTGGAGGCATATAGCTGTTTAATCAAAATGTATTCACTGAAGCTGACGCATAGCAGCTGCTGCTGCAGATTTTGAATAACAGGAACAAAAGGCACCAAACTATTCCAATGTTACCCGCCTCACCCTTAGTGGATACTACTCAGCGACTGGAGAATTTCGATGAAACTAATCATGGACCGTCAGCTACTAGGACAGAAATTCACTTTCTTGTTACTCCCTTTTTTATATATCTCCCGTGCCAACTGTAAAAAAGAGAACTAGCTTTAGAGGCTATAAGCCAGCAATCACTTCAAGTTCTGCTAACAAGAAAGAGCTTGAAACAGTACGGTTGAAAAAGTCCGATAAAGGGAACAAGACACAGAATAAAACAGTAAAGGAAAAATTCAAGAAGAAAATAATTTAAAAAACAGGACAAATATGACAGAAAGTGAATCATCAGATTTGAATCCTGTTGATATTTTTGGAAATAACACAGACTCGTCTGATGATGTAGCAACGAGAAAACAGACTGCAGCCCCTACTGAGAAAGATGCAGATGTTTTTATATAACTGAGTTACATGGGTACAGCAGCGCTTAATATGCATGCGAATCGTGGGTTTACAGTGCTTTTGTATGTCTGTAATGACTGCAGTTCGTACCTAACTAAAGACTATACGTGAAAACTAAACACTGATCGGTGATTGTGACTGATTACTAACTAACAATTAATGTAGGCTATTTAAAAAGTATTTACATTTCAGACTATATATGATTGATACATTGATCACTGGCAATTTGCCAGTGATGACTTATGGATCTGAGACGTGGTCCTTCACTGCAGGCTGTATGAGGACGCTCAAGGTCGCTCAGCGAGCTATGGAAAGGGCTATGCTGGGAGTTACTCTGTGTGATAAATTTAGAAATGAGGATATAGCGGTAGAACCAGAGTAACCGACATAGCCCAACGGATTAGTAAGTTGAAGTGGCAATGGGCCGGCCATATAGCTGAAAGAACCGACAACCGATGGGGGAATTTCCATCATTTACTTTCGTACATCTATTTCTTATGCAGGATTTGAGGGATAAGAACCACGCAAACGTTGTCTGGAAGAGATCACGTCCAGAGTGATGAGACCGCCTGTAGTTCGGTGTACACTGTACAATAAAGAATAAATAAATAAATAACTTATATTTGACATCTACTTTATACTTGATAAAATACGTGTTTACGTTTTTTATTTTAGCACATTGTTAACAACTTATGATAAATCAGTATTGATTAACATACCCGTGTCAAATTTAACTAGTTATTTTAACATGAAGAAGTTAAATACATAAATAATTATTTCGCATGATTAGTACGATACAAATATAGAGCTTTGTTTAAATAGAATGCGTGTTTCTTTACTTATTCTGGCTTTATTCTTTATTTACTTATTAAAGCGATAGTAACGGTATCTTTCATTCCATAAAAGCGATGTTATTAGAATAACCACTATACCACTAAACCAGAATATCCACTACCCCATATCTTCCCGTGGGTGTCGTAAGAGGCGACAGAGGGAGACAGACAGGAGATGGGCAGCAGCATCTTCCTGATAACAACAATAACATAATAAAAAACTGATGTTGCCAACCCGCTCGCCAAGCGTGGCAACTATGGCAAATATCCCCCCATGAGCAACGACGCAAATAAACGGCCCCCAGTCCCCGGCGGCCCCGCTATTCCTGGCTACGGTGGCGACCATGGTAACGGCGGGGCAGGGGGTGCTAAGAATCTCCGGTGGAGGTTCGGTTGCCACCTACGACGACTCGACCTGGCAACATTTAACGCACGCACTCTGAGGACTGACGAGAAGGTCCTGGAGCTGGAAGAAGAGATAGACAAGTTGCGCTGGAATATTATAGGATTATCCGAGGTCCGAAGAGAGGGGGAGGACACGGTGATTCTCGAATCCGGCAACTTGTTCTATCACCGGGAGGGCGACCATCTGTCCCAAGTAGGTGTCGGATTTATCGTCCACAAGTCTCTCGTCAACAACGTTGTAAAGATTGAGAGTGTGTCGACGAGGGTCGCGTACCTGATACTCAGAATCACCAAACGGTATTCGCTGAAGGTCATACAGGTTTACGCACCTACCTCGGCACATCCCGATGAGGAGGTGGAGGAAATGTATGAGGATATTTCCAAAGCCATGCATTCCTCCAAAACCCACTACACGGTGTTGATGGGAGACTCAGACTCGACGACTTCCAGCCTTCCGAACAAGCCGGTTTCCGAAAAGGCTTCAGTACCATAGACCACATACATACCCTGCGGCAGATTGTACAGAAGACCGAAGAGTACAATCTGCCACTTTGCCTGGCGTATGTGGACTATGAGAAAACCTTTGATTCCGTCGAAATTTGGGCGGTGCTACAGTCCCTTCAGCGGTGCCAAGTTGACTGTCGGTATATCGAAGTACTGAAGTGTTTGTACAGTAGGGCTACGATGGCTATTCGAGTACAGAATCAGAGCTCGAAACCTATCCAACTGCAGAGAGGTGTAAGACAGGGTGACGTTATATCCCCGAAACTCTTCACCGCTGCATTGGAAGACGTTTTCAAGCTACTGGACTGGAAAGGATACGGTATTAACATCAATGGCGAGTACATCACTCACCTTCGATTTGCCGACGATATAGTCCTTATGGCAGAATCGCTGGAGGACCTTAGCACTATGCTCAATGACCTCAATGGTGTCTCCCAACGGATAGGTCTTAAGATGAACATGGACAAAACAAAGATCATGTTTAATGTCCATGTCTCACCTATGCCGGTGGTTGTTGAGAGCACTATGCTCGAAGTTGTTGACGAGTACGTTTACCTGGGACAAATAGTCCAACTAGGTAAGTCCAACTTCGACCGAGAGGTCAATCGACGGATTCAACTCGGCTGGGCAGCGTTCGGGAAATTACGACACATCTTCTCGTCAGGTATACCTCAATCTCTGAAAACTAAAGTGTACAACCAGTGCGTGTTGCCAGTGATGACTTACGGATCAGAGACGTGGTCCTTCACTGCTGGCCGTATGAGGACGCTCAAGGTCGCTCAGCGAACTATGGAGAGGGCTATGCTCGGAGTTTCTCTGCGTAATAGACTCAGAAATGAGGATATCCGCAGTAAAACCAGAGTGCCGACATAGCCCAACGGATTAGTAGGCTGAAGTGGCAATTGGCCGGCCATATAGCTCGAAGAACCGATAACCGATGGGGAAGAAAGGTT